TACACAAAGGAGCAGATACTAGTCCTGTTGCTTTGTTGATCCAGGTCCTCGTGTAAAGGCCTAATGCTCTTCCACACTCCTGAGACTGTTATGAGAGACACATCGAAGCTATCAAAGCCATGTGTGGGCTGCAGGTACCGTCTCTTGCTACCAGTCACTAGCAAAAAGGAAAACTAGAGGGAAATCCGCCAAGAAGCATAAGAGGAGAACACCATGAGTGCACTTGCTGTCACTTTCACTTCACAGATTGATATTCCTGCAATTTAGCTGGCAGGGTTTAAACTGTGATAATTGTGCAGGCCCTTCTTTTTTTAAGCATTATTTTTATTACCTTTTAACTGATGGAAGTCTGAAAAAGGCGAGATATGTCATGTGTGGTTTGTTGTGAAGATTATGAGTAGGCTCGTTAGTGTATTCATGAAAGTCTGAGAAAGAGCCTTGTGCTCAAACATCACACTGCAAATAAAATCCTTGCACAGGAGCTGTTTGGTTTGTCTGTTTCTATAGTAGTAAATCTATTTCCAGTATTGGGCTTTTATTACATTGCCCCAGTTGTTTTATTTCCAGGTTTGTATCGAATATACTTGATCATTTTCACGTATCTCTCCATTTTTGTTTAGTTTACATTCTCACAGATTCGTCCACCTGTCACCTCAGCCAGCCGCGAGATTTCTGCTGCATCAGCTCGCAGTCCAAACAGGTGAGCACAGCTTCAACATTAACCAGCCGACGCGCATGATTACTGTTCATCTCTCTTGTGTAAGGCTCAGGGAGTATGTGCAGCATTTGCACGCTTTAGCTTGACAAAGAAAAATCCAGATTACATTGTAGTGCAAACAGCAATTTAACAGCATGTTCCTCATCCACAAAATGTTAAACATGCTATTTAGATACTACTCATGCTTAGAAGTCACCGAGCATAAACAACACTCTGACTCAGAGGCAGTTGGTGTGGAGGAAATCATGTCAGCTGTTGGTTGTTGGTGTCGGTGTACACTTGCCTCCCGGCTGATCAAAAGAGTGCGGCACCTGTTTTATTGATATTGTTTTCTCTGCCGCAGGGTGGCCTGCACGTGCTGGCAATGCAGTCTGTGTTTGAGGAGTCTCTCCCTCGGCCCAGTGTGGACGCCATCCGTGGGGAGATGTTGCCCAGTTGCTGGATCTTGCAACCAGTTAGACGTAATGAAAAGGAAGTAACCAGAGTCATCTACCTGCTACAGGTAAAATATGCTTGCCAGAAATACATCCACAGGCTCTCGTGCATCACTCCCTATTTCATTGGGTGCAAAAGTAATGCGGTCACATAAAGCAGAAGAATAATAAGGTTATTATGTTCGGTTTCTTTTTTTGTGGTCATTTTGGAGGCTGCAGTTTAAAGGCCAAAATACCTAAAAGACATCTTTCAGTGAATTACTTCTATATTCCACTATATTACTTTTAGATTTCGATATACTTAATAGCGCAGTTGTGTGTATTGCAATACAACCACTAGAAGGGTAGCAGAGTTGAAGTCTGTGCATTTTAACTTCCAGTAAATCAGTCTTTCGAGCTGATTATTGAGGCTGATTGTGCTGATCTAAACAGCAGGATGACTTTATGGCTCTCCACTGGCAGGCCTATCACTATTAGGGAAATTAGTTTCATGGAGTAGAAGCTTTTTTTTCCCCCCTTCGTTTCTTGCGAAGTTTAAGTTTACCACAGGAGCAGCTGATACAGCACAAAGACTTCACTCAGAGTCCATCTTTATAATGAAAACATAATTGTATTTTCATATTTGCTGTGTTTGAGTAACTTGCTCACTGGACATTTTATTAGGTATACCTATTTAACTACTCATTTATGCAAATATCTAATCAGCCAATCGCATGGCAGCAACTCAGTGCATTTAGGTATGTGAACTACAAACGGATGGAGAATATTTAATATTTAATATTTAATATTTAAGTGACTTTAAACATGCCGTGGTTGTTGGTGCCTGACAGGCTGTTTTGAGTATTTAAGAAACTGCTGATCTACTGGAATTTTCCCAGACAACCATCTCAAGAGTTTACAGAGAATGGTCCAAAAAGTTATCTGGGTAAAAATCCCTTGTTGATGCCAGAGGTCAGAGGAGAGTGGCCAGAAGCTGACAGGAAGGCAACAGTAACTCAAATATAACCACTTTAGGCAGCCAAGGTATGCAGAAGAGCATCTCTGGTGTACAGCAGCAAAAGACCACAACAGGTGCCTCTTCTCTCAGCTACGAACAGGAAAGTGAGGCTACAATTCACACAGATTTACCAACTTTGGGCCGTAGAAATATGAAAAAATGTTGCCAGGTTTGGATCTCGTTTTCTGCTGTAATATTCAGGTGGTGTTGGTGTAAACAACATGAAAACATGGATCCATCCTGCTCTGTATCAGTGGTTTGGGCTGGTGGTGTAATGGTGTGGGGAATATTTTCTTGACGCACTTCAGGAGGCCTTGGTACCGATTGTATCAATCCCTTTTTGATCGCAGTGTGTCCTCATCTTCTAATGGCTGTTTCACTGGATGTGCAGCTAACAAATCTGCAGCAACTGTGTGAGGTGTAGCTCTCATGTTAATGTGAACCAAAAATCTCTGAAGAATGTTTTCAGTACCTTGTTGACTCTTTCCACAAAGAAAATGGGGTCCAGCTCAGAATTAGCAAGGTGCACCTGACAAAGTGTCTGGTGAGTGTAATTTGCAGGCTGTACTACATGGATGTTATTTGTTATCTCCGTTTCCTCTTCTGTTTATTTTCAGCTGGACCTAGGAACTCCATCTTTTCCTCACCGTCTCGTGAACGCTGTTGCCAGACGACAGGCAGCCGTCATCGCCGATCTTGATGTTTTCCTTTCTTCGTAAATCGACGGGACGCGCAAAGACGCATCATTAGCAGCGAGCACTTAGATCCTCTCCGTCACGGAGTCGGTCTGTCTTTTGAATTTGCACCTGAAATGTTATTTACTTGATTTTTTTTAAGGGCACTGTTACATTTTATATCCAGACACAAAGTTGAAGCAGCTTTTTTTTTCTTAATGAAGGTATTTTTGTAAAATATTGGTGTTTTTCTATATTTGTACATGCACATGAATATTTTCAAGACTGTTTTACCAAAGATTAGATGTTTTTAATTGAATGACTTGGCATTGCAGTTATTGCCAGTTGCTTTTAGGTGCTTTCAGGTTGAGACCACTTAAGTTTCCCCTCTAAATCTTATATCCCCCTGATAAATAGCAGGCATTTTACCTCCTCAGTGACATTTTCGTCTGATTACTTTCTTTTATATGTTGACTGACAGATGCAGCCAGTTCTGTTAATGTTTTAAATCCACCAGTGTACATCTTTGACTGCTTCCTCACACATGCACAATAAAAAAAACAACAAAAAAACCCCACAGTGTAGTGATAGACAGAACCAAATAAGACAATTTTCACAAACTTCTCTTTAGTCCTTTTCCCGCTACATTTGTGTGCCTACAGCCTTTCCTCACATATTCAATAAGATTAATTCAGCAGAATATGAATTTCAAATATCTCTTAGCAATTCTCAAAAATGGAAAAGAAAGATATGTAAGCTATATACTGTATTATATAGTAGCACCATGTAGGCCAACCTGGAGGAATGGTAAGGAGTTGTTTTGTAGCTGAAAATGTTAATCAGCTCACTGCAGAAAAACACGAGGGGAAAAAAGGTTTTGTAGCAAAACAAGGAAGAGGAAAGTTGGGAACCTTTTGACTATTATCAACTCTTAAGGGCATGAGGGCAGATCAGTTTTGAACCAGAACATGATGGTTCATGCCCTCATGTCAAACATGCAACGTGTTGATGAGATTATTATCCAGCTCCAGGGTTAAGCTCTCATAGTTTTCAGTACCCCGATTCTGCATGAGGTGAGTTTTTAAGGTCTTCCCCTCCCACTTGTTTCTGAAGCCTGTTATTTATTTAGTTTCTCTTGCCTTCTGTTTGAAATGCTGTTGAATGTGTTATGTAGCTGTTCTTCGGAGTGCTGTGTTTGTGGCTGCTTGCACAAAACCTTTTATGCATTTAGTAAAATTGAAGAGGATTGTAAAAAGGTTGTTGTTTTAATGTGTACAGTTCTTTTAACTAAGATGAGAAAAGGCCAGACTGCTCTCAGACAATCCGGGTCTTGTGTATTTGGATATGAAGCCATGTTATGTGGAGTCATTAAAAGACAATGTTGACTCTGAAAGTAAAGTTCAACTAAACCTGTTTCCTGAGGCACCAAAGAAAAAGAGACAAGTGAAAAATGCAGTAGGAGCTGTATGGAAGGTTGAAGGAAAATAAAACTTTAGCAGGAAAAATTAATTGCAAGATTTTAACTTGTCAGAATTTTGAGATGCCTAACTCAAGATTTTGACTTACAGATTGCAATTTTAATATTGTCAGTAAAACAAACCTCCGTACAGCTGTTTGTAATAATTTCTTGTTTTTTTTATAGCATATTTTTATTTCTTAAGAAATATATATATTTATGTTTTTCTGGTGTGATATGTATGTATTTTATTATAAGCGCCATACTTCTTGTTGCTAATAAGTTGTTATTAGCCATTTTTCAAATAATTTTTGTTTTTTATGACACAAACTGTTGCATCAAAACCTGTTGTGTGTTCAGTTTTAGTTACCTTGTATGTAGCAAGCAGAACATTTACCTTTAGTGCTGACTGAACTTCTTTTTGGATATTGTTGTACTGAAAGGTGATATTAAAAAAACAAACAAACATATTTCTCCGAGTGCTTCTGGGTTAGAAACATGGTGTTGCACTATATCTTTAATGAAGTTTCTAATAAGATTATATCGGTGCAGTTATATCGCTTAAATGGTTTCCAAATGAGCTTTATTCCTTTTTTGATGTCATTTCTTCTGACTCTGACGTCATCACACAGGTGTGTCCACTCTCCATGTCCTGGCCTCTCTTCTCTGCCTTGGAGGTGACATTTCTGAAAGGGTCTCGATAGGTAGGTGGGTGGTTGCCGTGTGCGCGATTAGAGCCCTTTCTGGGCGGGGTGGAGTGCACTGAGGTGGGGGTAGGAGGCGTTGCACAGGACATCAGAAGTGTCTCTGCCATTTAGAGTCACCAGCCCTTGTCAGGAATGTCCGTCCCCTGCGCGCACAGATCATGTACTGGATGCGCCAACTTTATTTTTAACTCTGCAGGGTGGGTCACTCGCCTGGCTTTCGGGAATGACCGTGGAGCGCGCGGCGCCTTCAGCCCCTTTCCCTAGTCCCCAGTGTAGGACTGTGCCCACCTCGAGCTGTGGAGACCTCTGTGCGCTCTGACCAGGACCCCCACTGAGTCAATGGGATTATAACTGGTTTACTGGCAGGAAGAAGACTAAAGATAAACACTTTCGGACAGAAGAAAAACCAGAAGCAAGTAAGTGTAAACTGAAGGCAAAACTAATGTGCCATTGCAAAATTAAATTAATGATCTTTGTGCAAATAGTAAGGGAGCCGTGTTCATTTATTTAGACTACTGTTCGCAGTTGTTTGTTGGTTAAGTTTCCTCCAAAGTACCTGTTGATCCGGGCTGCCATGTTTAATAATAACGTAAAAGCTCTGAATGATTTATCATTGTTATAATATTCACTGATAAAACCGCTAAACATTGTTTTAATAAAGCTATATACAAATTCCCAAGTTATTAATTTTTCTTTTACTGTAAAACAGCCAGGGTGGCGTGCGTCTATAAATTTGCGCAGAAATAGGCCATTGCGCGCGATTGCGCACAAAACTATGCGCTTTCCAGAAGGTATTGCGGAACTATTCAGATAATTTACCAATCTAAAAGAAGCAACATTTAGCTCAAAAGTAGTCTGCTATACTTCAAGTATACTTCCGTCACTTAAAGGAGCACAATGCTACTGAAACGTGTGCTTAGATATTTCCGAAGTACAAGTACTCAGAAGGTGTCTCCAGTGGGCTTCCTGTCATATTAATACCGGTGCTTTAATGTACGTAATACTTTAATGCTACTGATGTCATATTAGTTTCAAGTCCAATATATTAGGAGAGATCACTCTAAAGTTGCATCATGGTTCTTACGCCTGTCGTTATTTTTTTTTATAAAAGTGACCCAAGAAAAGCGCCAGAAATATGTATTTCGTTACATTCCATCGCTTATGTTTGCCAAAGCTTGAAAACATTCCACTGTAGCATGTGAGCTAGTTTTCCCTTTGTTAAAGCACCTTGCAAAGCCTTTTCACCTTTGATTGAAAGCAGTCTGCTGCCCTTTGAAAGGCAAAGATATGGCACATTTCCTGCTCAAAGAAAGTTCAGCTTTATTCCCCTTAAAAGGACAAGTGAGCATGTGTGGCTCTGTCTGGCCAGGCAGGGACTTCAGTGTAAACACACTCCAGGAATAGTTTATTATCGATTCATCTTAACCTCTTGCAGGATCACACTCAGTGCTGTTGAAGTCCAAACAACACTGACCACAAGAAATGAGCTTCTTCTTTTAGCTTATGTTTCATGGATTGATATCCTTTCTACTCTTGGTTTCGGTATTCATTCTTATATATAAAAAAGCAAGTAATTGTTCTTTACTCCATATTGATCTCTGAGTGTTTGGTGTTTATGTCTCAGATTTACTCTCAGCTGGACCGCAGGCCTACCTCTCCTCAGTCCAGTTGCTCCTGCCGCTACAGTTTCACAAACACACTGTAGGTCACACATCTCAACCACACCCATCTCTTATTTCATCCTCTCCATCTGACTCTGTGCTGCTCAGAATAATGCATGGCCAGCTAATGTTTTGTTCTGCTCAGAGTGCAGAGCAAGCACCAGCGTAACATTTTCTTACAGCTGGAAAAATGGTCTGCAGAGTTGTAATTCAACTCAGGTGCTGATTTGATGTTTGCATTGGACATACTTGTTCACAGTGTAGTTTTGCTATTTAAAAAAAGGGGGTCCAGTAAGTGCAGTAAGAGGAAGGTTACCAACTAATTTCGGCCAAGCATAAAGGTAAAACTTTCATTCACACCTTTAAATATTTTTTCCAAGATCCTCTGCTGGCATTATATGCAGAGCTGTTTCCACAAAAGTCCAAGCTCATGTTGCATATGCTTACACGCACCCAGGTCATGCAACATGTGGGGATCTGAAGGAATTCCAGCTGACATTCTTATCATCCCTCTTGACATTTTACTGCTTCGGAGAGATTATCCAGCACCTCTTACCCACCAACTCACAGCGTGGAGTCACTAGAATGATTTATATACAACAGGAACATGTTCTGGGGTCTTTATCTACTGTAGGTGATAGAAATCTATCCACAATCAGCCAAAAAAAAGATTGAATCAAATTAGGCTTTATTAGTAGAGGCGTCAGAACTTAACTGTGTCAATTTTCCGTCATATTTAAACTCAGTAATTTAGTGATGTGATGGGTAAAAATAACTTTAAACAGAATGAAATCACTTTAGAAAAATGAAAAAGAAGTGCAACAGTGCACACATGCCTTTTATGCATGCCAAACTTTACATCTGTGTATTTGTATTTTTTAAATATTTAAAACATTTTCCAGGGTGACCTTCTGTGAGCAAGCAGGTAGATTAGAGTGTTCCCTCTCACTCAAGGACACCACGAGAGGACACCTTGCTATTGAGACACACGTGCTGTGGCAGGCAGAGAACTTGTGACCTTTCTTTCACTGGACTTTCTATAATAAGGAGCTCAGCATGTCTCCAAATGGAACTGACTGCAGCATCACCGTGTATAAACATGTTTGGATTTGTGTTCAGCTGCTAAATGGAGCAGTCGGTCAATCCCCAAACACGATTCGATTCTCACAGCTTTGTGACACTTTGTGAATATGAATTTGTGGGCCGTGTTAGAGAGGGTTTGTGCAGTAGAAGTGCGTCGTGCAGTCATGCCGGGCCAGGTTGTGCACGAGGTGATAAGGGGATCCCTGGTGGTGGGTGGAGCATCCCTGTGCTGATAACAGCCCTCTGCTGAGGACTGATACTGAGCAGGAGGAGGAGGGACACCTGTAGGATGCCATTACTGCGCATCACTGAGGGCCTCTTCTCTGAATGGACTGAACAAACAAACCTCTGTAGTTTGTAATTTGTGTCAAAGTACATTTAGTAAAATAAAATACTTACAGTAGAGACAATTTAAGTTTTTTTAATATATATGTTTGCCACCTTTTAAAGTAATATTGAACTAATCATAAAGATGCAAAGTACTGATTATCATATGAAATACTGAGCACTGTGCAGGTAAACTATTAAAAGTATTACACTTATAATAACATAATGCCAGTAGTGAAGATAATCTCGTAGAGATGGAGTGCATCTACTGTTTTTAGTGAACTTTAGAATCACATCAAAAACTACAATTATTATCATCAGATTACAGATTATAGCCTTTATCTGTAATCCATCATTTAAAACTCTAATGTTAGTAAAAGCAAAATGCATGCGCCCTTAATTTGTGCTGTAGAGGGGGACTTTGGCATGTTCTGTACCCCCATGCTTCATCTAATGGAGCATTAACCTAAGTTAGACTCCCCGCCTCACTTAGGCTCACATGACTATTCTCACCAACAAAAAGACGCAAACACGAACACGTTCGTACTTTGAACTACGTGAGCGGCATCATTCAAAAGAAGGCGGTTTCGTCACGTTTCTGCTGTACAGAGGGGTTCCCCTCCCCCGTGTGGCATGATAAGAGAGCTATGCTGCACCCAGATAGAGCTATCTGAGTGGTTGCCCTTCAACCCGCCATTCCACACGAAGAATACGCAGACACACTGCGCTGTGACAGTTGACCAAAGTCACACGTACAAAATGGAGACTGTGAGGAGGGGGCACAGAAACTCATGTGGGCAGCTTGAAAGCTGCCATACATTTGATTTTTGTGTAAAAATATCCAAAAATTGCAGCTGATATCACACCAATGCCCCAAATTAAATTCTGGTGTCAGTTATAGATACAGCCTCGTATAGATTGAAACTTAAACTCCCCTCCCAAAAAAATGAACTGCAGAATAAAAGCAGAATTTATCAATAGTTGGATGGCAACTAACTGTAAATATCATCACTGGTTGTGATGCAGATAATATTTTGACATTTTTAGACTATTAGATTGGAAAACTGCCTTTATATTGTCCCTAAATTAATGTTACATTCTGCAGCCAACAGCCCAATGATATACAATTAACTGTAAAAGCACTAAATTCTAACAATTTGCGGAAAATATTAAAGAAAGTAAACCATACAGTTTGTCATTTTTTTTCTATTAATCATTCTAACTGAAATAATTGGGACAGGGAATAAATGATCATTTGTTTAGAAATGACCAAAGCTGTTATTCTTGTATTATAATCCTAATCAATCATAACGTGACGTGCTGTGTGTATTTGCCCTCTGTTTCAGGTCGCCTTCAGCATTCCGGGTTCATCCTGCCGCTTTTTCCATCTGCTCATCTCCCTCTTCACCCAGACCACCTGAGGACGCCGCCAGCCGTCCCCCCGCCCGCTCGTCACCCTGGCTGCCGCCATGACTTCCACCACAGATTTTGACAATGTGGAGATCACGCAGCAGTACAGCCACATCAACACCCGCTTTGACCTCTCTGATGAGGAACTAGACAATGACAACAGCTCTGCCAGGCTGTTTGAGCGCTCGCGCATCAAGGCCCTCGCAGGTGAGTGCCTGCATAGTAAACAGGCTGCGTCCTCGGTGACAGATTTTCGAGATGACAGTCTTTTTAAAAGTGAAAGAGAAGGGCACAGAGGATGAGCTGTAAAGGGTGAGCACCTGTTTAACTTTAGTTGGGTTGAATAAAACTGTAACCTTCACTTAGATTTCTGTTACAAAAATGACAAAACTCCCACCGCAGGTCAGCTTTGAGTTTACTCCACGGCTTTGTAGTTAGCTAGCACTCTCCAGGGTTGGTTGTGTATGGATGAATCTAACAGTTACACCCAACCAGCAGCTGAGCCCTGACACTGCTCCACACCCTCTGCAAATAACTGGGATCACTTGCACATTCCCTGAATGTCCAGTGTCTGACCGATCTGGACAGCTGCCCTGTCTCTCTTGCTCCCATAGCACAGATCTTTGGGATTTCTGGCTAAGCTGGTAAGCTGTGACCCACCTGTGGGCCTGCTGCTCTGAGTTTTTAAATAGCAGTGTTCCTGTGGTAGCAGGAAGCGAATCACAAAAGGGGAGTGATGGAGGGTCAACACCATGGTCGGTGCACAAGAGAGATAGGACACAAATTAATCTCTGTGAAGTTCAGACTTCTGGAAGGACTTAAGATATTTAAAGAGATTGTAATGATGTTGACACTGAAACGTAGTCCTCAATGAACTTTGAACAAAAGCATTTTTTAAATGTTAAATGTTGTCAAACACACTAGTATTTAACACATCATCACCACATACAGTTTAAATGACAAACCTGTTAGTGGGCAATGACACCCAGCAGACACTGAGCAACATTAGCTTTTCCCTGTGTCATCTTTGGATCCACCTGACCAACACAAGTCCAATATTTACTACTTCTGGCGGTCATACAAAGGTGGCAGCGGCTGAACCAAAACATCTGCAGGATATAAAAGCAAAAAATATGCTTAAAGACATTTAAAAGGATCCTTTTATCTCAGCAAACTGAGGGCTAATGGAGAGTTAGCAATCTGACCCACTATAATAAGAAAATAAATATTTAATAGAATGGCTTTAACAATACAGATCAATGTAGTTGATCACTGACACAAAAGCTGACAACTTGAACTTGTGACTGGATTTTGTGTAAGCACACACTGGCTCTTACATTCTGTGTGATATATATTATGCGTGAATATATTATGCATGGTTTCCTGTGAGGCCGTTAGGGGCGGGTATACAATTTGAGTCCAGTGTGGAAAAACTGGGCGCACCGACCAACAAGGAAAACCGCTTTAGGGAGAATTATGTTGCAGACACAGATGACTGGTGTCACTTAGCTGCTTTTCCGTCATCGCGTTCAATCACGTTAATGCTGCTTCTCTCACTGCTGCGGCTCATTAGTCTAACCCGATTTCCTCCTTTTACAAAATTTACAAACAATTTTGCAACCATTTACTTCAAGCAGTGAAGGCGCCAGACAAAAAACAGAAAATGGGCAAACACAGAAGGCAAATTCTCTGTAAAATTCCGGGCTGGATAACAACAATTAAAGTAGCAGTTTTGCTGGTGAACATCAACCTCTCTCATCAAAGCCATCTTTTTTTTTGACGACAGGCACATGTCAGTACCAAAATTGTGATTTGAACTTAGATTCAGTAACTCCTATATCTTAGTAGTTTTCAATATTTGATACTCTGGACAAAAAAAAACTCAGGTTTGATGCCGGCTCCTATTTTGGGTTTCCAGTATGTTTTTTTTTTGCCTTTTGCAGGATATTTGTTGTTTTTTTTTGTTTTTTGTGTTTATAAAGAAGCACTACTTTTCCTGCTGTCTCTTTAAGTGATGAAGGCTTCTGTGTGTGGGTGCTGGTGATGTTGTGTTAGAGTGCTGCTGCTGTAATGCAATAAGTGTTTCCTGTCAGAGAAAGAGAGAGAGAGAGAGAGAGAGTGAAGGAGGGAGGAAAGTGATAAGAGAAGCAAGAGATGAGAGAGGCTGTGAATGACACCCGCTGCTGATTTACAGCTTGTGAGCTCAGAAATATGCTCTCAGCAAGCCATCAAAGAACATACAGGCTGTACTGAATATACACTAGTTTACGCTGCGTCTTACTTTGGCTTAGAAAAGACACGTTTCTTTAAGATATGCTTCAGTTTCGTGATGGTTTATTGGCTCAAAAAAAAAAACTACCTCTCCATGTGTACAGTTATCATTCAGCGATGTCACGACTTTGTGGGAGTGTTTGTCTATGGGGAGGAGGGGGTTTGTGGGAACACGTGGATGTATTGAAACATAATGTATGCACGGCTGGAGCTGGAGAAACCACTCAGATCTGAACTGAAGGCTGCCTGAGCTCTGGTGTTGCCTGAGAGTGGAGGCAGAGCATCACCACGGCAGCAGTGAGGAGAGTGAAAAAGTGGAAGGAGGAAGAGGAGGGAGGGAGGGAGGGAGCAGGAGTGAACGTGAGAGGGATCTGGAAAGGAGGACAGAGAGCCAAGAGACTGGGAAGAAGAGAGACGTGGTGTGCCAAGCTCCTCTGCTGGCTCCAGAGGCGGTGTGTGTTCCTGTTGTTGTTGTTTGGGGGTCAAGATGAGCAGCCCGTGCCTGCTGCGCACTGCCCCTATAAGCCAACCCCGGCTCAGAGAGGTCAAGATCAGCGTGAAGGCCAGCAGCAGGGAGACTACAGCCATTCGGAGCAGCAGCGGAGGGGCCAGGGAGGCTTCCAGTCGCTCTTACATGCCACCTGAAAAGGAAGCACCTGTGCGGGTCAGCGTGAGCAGCAGCCGGAGCAGGAGCACGCCGCCGGTCCACAGGGCCCAGAGACCCGAGAGCAGGAAGTCATCAGGGGGAAGCACCTGCAAGCAGCAGCAGCAGCAGCCGGAGCACCACCCGGAAAAGAACGGCACCATCCTGCATGTCCCGCTTGGCGTGGCGCCCACGGGGCTGTCCCCTTTCTCCTCATCCTCCTCCTCGTCCTCCTCCTGCACTCCCAGACGTCAGCGGCCCTCTCGCCCCCATGCTACCCCTGCCCCCACCCCCCTCCTCCTCTCGTCCTCCTCCTCTTCCTCCTCGGCCCAGAGTATGAAGCGAGCTCGCTGGCTGAGTTACAGCACCTCTAACATCTGCTTCAACTCCATCCTGGACGGGCGCTTCAGGCAGCTGCAAGGTACAGGGTCCTGGTGGCAGAGCTGTGCGTGTGTGCGTGTGTTTGTTCACCCTCTTATGCCTCACAGACACTTTTCCAATTATGCCCCTCACTTACCCAACTTGGGTTTCTTGTTAGGCCTGGGTGAGATGGCAGGGAGGTCGAGCTGCGAGTTGAGTAAGTGTGAGGCTAGTTTGTCATCCTGTTGTAAGAACTGGAAAAAGGCAGCAGGAAGTAAGTGCAAACTTCCATAGCAGTTGCCATTTTATTAAATATATTTGGTTGTAATTTATTTATTTCCAGGAAGCAGTGGCTCTGCCCCAATTGTTCACTGACTTGACTTTAAATAATTCATAGGCAAACTCCTAAAAAGGTTGTGATGTTTTTCCCTCCAAAGCCATTCATGGCTGGCTACTGTTACGCATTCTTCTGTGCCCTGTTTTTTATTTATAAACAAGAAACATATCCGTCATTGTGCCACCTATTCTCCGTACGGCCCTTTCCACTTATAAACTCTTCCAAAGTACAAAGTATGAGTGCGTTTCGTTCCTAACCTCCTTTTCCCCCGAATGACTTGCGTTGGTGGTGTTAAAAAACAATCAATTTCTCTGATGGTTTTACCTTCTCCCTGCCCGTGTTATTAAGGTTTTAAAAGAGAGGTCTGCCGTCACAGTGGATTTTTGTTAGCTTGCACTATGCTCTCCAACTCCCCGATGACAGGAGTGCATTAGTGAGTGGAAGAAAATGGAGGAGACGATGCAGGAACAGAGAGGGGAAATGCTTTTTTTTCCCCCTGCCTCTGCTAGATTTCAAGTATTGACTGATTCTGCAGACTGCAGAGGCAACTGATACGTGAAGCAGCAAAGTTTTGAAGCCTCCCCAAATCAGGGATGTGTCTTGAGATGTGTATTGATCCGCCAAATGCATTTCATGATATTTTATTTACTTCCTATTTACCTGCTATTAGGGAGATATGGCCAAGACTGCAGTTGGGCAGAATAAGATTTGTGTTTCACGTTTATTGGTTTACTTTTGAAATGTACACATGCTCGCTGTTGTCAAGTATGTCTGCTGCCGAGGTTACAAGAAGCAGTCTTTGAGTTGTTTGACTGACCTTTAACCCTTTTAGTTTTCACCAGTGGTGTATGCACCTCTCTCCAAGCCCTTAATCCTCTGCTGTTTTCTAATTATAAATACAATCTCGCCTTTGGATTGATTCTCAGATTATTTTTTATGTCTTCTTTAAGCTTGAGCCAGGCTTTACAGTTCACTTGCTTCTTTTGCAGCTGCTCTAAATACCTTTGCGTGAGAACGCATCAAGAAACCCTGGGAGCATCAAATATGCATTAATATGATGCTCAGCAGTTGCCAAGTACATGTAATGAAGACTCAGACAATCCACTTGCCCAGTAAGCAAAATGTTTTAGTCAGTTAGATGTCTAGAAGACATCTGTAGTAGTACTGTAGTGCTCAGATATTTAGGGTAAAATCTGGTTGGAAGGTCAAGCTTTAGTAGATGTACCAAATCTCACATAGACATTGTTTAACCAGCTATATATCTATTTAAAAAAAGCTTATTTTTGCATTGAGACTGGATGCTTGATGAATGATTTAACCTACTCACCTAGATCCTATCTATGACTGCTTCTCTCTATCCTAGAATATATCTGCCAAAGTATAGCCTGCTTTTAGCCCAATCCAACATTTAGAGATGTTTTTGGTGGTACAAATATGTGATAATAGGAGGGAAGTGTTGGTCAGTCTTGTTAATAAAGCACAGTGTGATAGCTGCGGGACAGGTTGAGCTGGCAGTGTCATGACTCAGTCATGTAACGGGGTGCTCTAAGACCTTTGGGCCAAACTCAATAAGAGCTGACTGTGGGAAAAGACAGA